CTAGAATAGCCAAAACAATTCTAGGGGATAAAGACAATATGGGAGGGCTATCCATGCCGAACTTCAAACTCTACTACAGAGCTATAATCACAAAGACAGCATGGTACTGGCACAAAAACAGACCCGAAGACCAATGGAACAGAATAGAAGATCCAGATATAAATCCACAGGCCTACAGCCAGCTGATATTCGACAAAGGAGCCAAAGACATACAATGGAAGAAACACAGCCTCTTCAACCGCTGGTGCTGGGAAAACTGGGCAGCCACATGCAGAAAACTAAAAGTGGACCCCAGCCTATCACCATGCACCAACATCAACTCAAAATGGATTAAAGACCTTAACATTAAACCTGAATCTCTGAAACTACTGCAGGACAGAGTAGGAGAGACACTTGAACTAATAGGCACAGGAAGGAACTTCCTGAACAGAGTCCCAGGGTCACAACAAGTTGGAGAGAGACTCGACAAATGGGACTACCTTAAAATAAAAAGCTTCTGCACAGCTAAATCTATCGCAACTAAGCTAGAAAGACAACCAACTAATTGGGAAAAAATATTTACCAGCAATATATCAGACAAGGGGTTAACATCCTGTATATACAGGGAACTCAAGAAACTAATCCCTCCCAAACCTAACAAACCAATTACTAAATGGGCAAGGGAACTAAAGAGGGACTTCTCAAATGAAGAAATAAAAATGGCAAAGAAACACATGAGGAAATGTTCATCATCCCTGGTGGTGAAGGAAATGCAAATAAAGACAACCCTGAGATACCACCTTACCCCAGTCAGAATGTCCCACATCCACAAATCAGCCAACGACAAATGCTGGAGGGGATGTGGAGAAAGAGGAACCCTATTACACTGCTGGTGGGAATGTACACTTATACAACCACTTTGGAAAGCAGTCTGGAGGGTCCTTAGAAAGCTAAAGATTGACCTCCCTTACGACCCAGTCATACCACTTCTAGGCATCTACCCTGAACAACAGGAACCAATATACAAGGACACGTGCACCTCCATGTTTATTGCAGCACTGTTCGCAATAGCTAGGATATGGAAACAACCTAGGTGCCCCACCACAGATGAATGGATCCAAAAATTGTGGTATCTATACACAATGGAATATTATGCAGCCATTAGAAATGACAAAATAATGGCATTTGCAGGGAAATGGATGGAGCTAGAAGGAATCATGTTGAGCGAGGTAAGCCAAGAACGAAGAGACAAACGGTACATGGTCTCCCTCATAAGTGGATGCTAAATCCAAAAGGTTAGTGATACGACAAAACTAACAGGACTTAAGAAACAAAGAACTCCCGCTCATCTGGTTGAACCACTACTAAATATCCTCATGCTGCTGATCACAAATATGGTATATAACATGTGAACACTGTTATATATTACAGACTGTGGTAGACAATTTGCTCCAGGGAAGTTAGAATGAACTTGTGACTTTGAAATTATGTAATCATTTAATCACAATCAAAAAAAAAAAAAAAAAAAAAGAACCTCGGGGAAGGGAGGGAGGGAGGGGATGGTAGGGGGAAAACAATGGAGGGGGTAACAATGTTCAAGAGGAAGTGTACTCATAACCTCACTCATGTAACTGTGACCCTCTGTATAGTAGCTTTACAATAAAAAAAAAAAAAAAAAAAAAAAAATAGAAAAAGTGAGACCTAACTAAAGCAAAAAATGGTTAGGGTAAGCATAAGGCTCTAAGTTCAAACAGAAGTTGCTAGCTCCATACCGGTTTACTGCACAGGGCCAGTCTGGCAATGGACCTGCCTGGATATTTTGTCCTAGATTCCCTGAATATAAGAAAAGAGTACTGAACCTGCAATATTTGAACATTTCAATTTTATTTAGCAGCTTGTTTTTTTTAATCACTGAAAAAATACAAAATTCCTTTTATAAAACTGATGCAGATACATGAATCTAAGCTCACCATGTTAGGAAACCCCTTTCCCAAGTAGAAGACGGGTTGGTTTGAAATGGGGTCTTGCTGTCACCTAAGCTGGCCTCGAACTCCTGGACTCGAGTGACCCCCATGTCTCAGCCACTGTTTTCTACCAATCCTGATGGTTGGTTGGGACAGGAAGTGGGGAGCTTGGTACTGAGGTTTTGAACTCAGGACTTCACATTTGCTAGACAAGCACTCTACCATTTGAACCACAGCTTCAGCCCTTGTTTTTCTGCCTGTGATTGGGTCTGGCTGTGTTGCCCAGACTGGCCTTAAATATCTGGTATGTCAGCTTTCCATCACTGTGACAAAATGTGTAAGCTAGTCACTTATATAAGGAAAAGCGGTGGAATCGGCTCAACCAACAGATGAAAGGCTAAATACCGTGCATATATACCATGGAATATTATACAGTCATGAAGGAAACAAATCACATCATTTGCAGGAAAATAGATGAAACTACAGAAGATCATGTTGAGTAAGTAATCCAAGCTCAAAAAGCCAAATAATACAAGCTAAAAAAAAACTTTAAAAAGTCAAATGTTAACTAGGTGCCAGTAGCTCACACCTGTAATCCTAGCTACTCAGGAGGCTGAGATCTGAGGATCACAGTTCAAAACCAGCCTGGGCAGGAAACTTGGTGAAACTCTGATCTCTAATAAACCACACAGAAAACTGGAAGTGGCGCTGTAGCTCAAGTGGTAGAGCGCTAGCCTTGAGTTGAAGAGCTGAGGGACAGCGCCCAGGCCCAGAGTTCAAGCCCCATGACCAATAAAAAAAAAGAAGTCAAATGTTTTCACTCATAGGTGGATGTTAGATCTAAAAGAGATAGATAACTAGGTAGATATGTATGCACCTTTATGCACATGTACATAGAACTGAGGGGGAAGGAGAAAGGGCAAAACAAAGAGGGGGGATAATTTCTAAATGCATTGCAGCTGTGTGAGAATCTGCGCACTAATCCTAGGGTGTTGGGGCAGAGAAAGCAGCTGAGGGGCACTCTGAGTGAAACAGAAAATGTCTGCAACCACGGTGAGACCCCTTGGTGTCATTAATACACACTTAAAAAGAGAACAAAGGACAGGAAAGTCAAGCAGCCCTCTATGGGCTTGCTGTTGAGAAGGAGGGTGAAGAAGATTCACGAGGCTTATTTGCATGTTTGAAAACACAACCATGGGCTGGGAAGGTGGCTCAGTGGTAGAGCGCTTGCCTTGCATGCCTGAGGCCCTGGGTTCGATTCCTCAGCACCACATAAGCAAAAAGAAAAAAAAAAAAAGAAATGTCACAATAGTAGCTCCCCCTTTGTAAAACATATGGTAATAGGACTTAAAAAACATAATAAAAAAAGCCAGGCACCAGTGGCTCACACCTGTAATCCTAGCTACTCAGGCGGCTGAGATCTGTCTAGGACTGCGGCTCAAAGCCAGCCCGGGCAGGAAAGTCCGTGATACTCTAATCTCCAGTAAACCACCAGAAAACCAGAAGTGCTGTGGCTCAAGTGGTAGACGCTTGCCTTGAGCTGAAGAGCTCTGGGACAGCGCCCAGGCCCAGAGTTCAAGCCCCACAACCAACAAAAAAGAAAATAGAAAAGAAGAAACAGAGGAGGAAGTGGAGATTTCTTTTGGCTTACCCATTTCAGCCATTCAGTCCATGGTCCGCAGCACTGAAGGCTTGCGCAGCCTAAAGCGTGTGGCCAGGAGACAGACTGGGAGAGGAAGAGCCCCTGGGTCCTTGAATGGTGTTCAGGGCCACGCCCCCAAGGCCCGACTTCCTGAGCCCACCTCCTGAGCCCCCACCGCCTCCCAAAACTGCCCTCAGCTGGGGCCAAGCCTTCCACAAATGCGCCTTGGAAGATACTGGAATGGAGATTCAAACTGTAGCACCTGGGCTCAGCTTCCTGAGTAGATGGGACTACAGGTGTGCACTACCATGCCTGCCTTCCCGCCTTTTATTCATTTTCTTATTTGAGGTGTTTTGTTTTTATAGATTTTTGTTCTTTAAAAAGATTCACAGAGGGGCTGGGAAGGTGGCTCAGTGGTAGAGTGCTTGCTTCACATGCCTGAGGCCCTGGGTTCGATTCCTCAGCACCACATAAGCAGAAAAAAGCCGTAAGTGGCGCTGTGGCTCAAGTGATAGGGCTCTAGCCTTGAGCTGAAGAGCTGAGGGATAGTGCCCCGGCCCAGAGTTCAGGCCCCACCACTGCCAAACAAAAGATGCACAGAAGGCATGAGAATTTCATAGTTCCTTCTCCACTAGTGTCCCCTAGTAGCATCTTACATATTCATTACAACTGATGAACCAATATTAATAAATTACTAACCAAACTGCACGGTTGATGTTAGGACAATTTAGGGGGGGTGTGCAACACGCATGCATGAATGTGTGTGGTATTGCTAGTGTTGAGGACTGAACTCAAGACTCTTAATAATAATAATAAGCCAGGAACTGGTGGCTCACACCTGTCATCCTAGCTACTCAGGAGGCTGAGATCTGAGGATCATAATTCAAAACCAGCCCAAGTAGGAAAGTCCATGAGACTTTGATCTCCAATTAACAAGCAAAAAAAAAAAAAAAATGAAACCAAAAGTAGAACTGTGGCTCAAGTGGTAGAGCGCCAACCTTGAGCAAAATCAAGCTCAGGGATAGCATCCAGGCTCTGAGTTCAAGTCCTAGAACCCCACCGCGCCCTCCCCCCCCATACAAAATGATGGATGGAGCCTGCCTTCTGATCAGGGTGGGAATACTGGCTTTGAACACCTAACCCCAACACTTCATTAGTGGCATAAGCTGAGCAAACTGCTTCTCTTCTGGGCCTACGTTTTGTGTCTGTAAAGAGGTCCTTTGCACCCCAGGGCTTAGCAGCCCGAGACCCCAAGACACTGGATATACAGATGATGTAATGATCTATAAAGAGCCCCCTGACCCTATCCTTATAAAAAAGGTTATAGATATCTGCCTGCCGGTCTTGACGTGGCTCAGCATTTCCAAAGCATGGAAGATCTGGTAACAGTGACTTGTTTCTAAAGCCCTTAGTTGATGGTCATCTTCCGGTCAGGTGACACCCTTGACTGGTGGTCATCTTCTGATCAGGTGACACCTCGCTAGGGTCTCATGGGCTCACATGGCCGTGCAGCTCCTGGGCTGGGCATCTCTTTTCTTCCTGATGCTCTCTGCAAAACACAAGAACCCTACTGCCTCTGCCAGCCAGGACTACTTTAGCTGTGAATTTCCTGCCAGACCCTATGCTAGACGGGAAAACAACTATAAGACCAGAGCATGTGTGTATGTGTGTGTGTGTGTGTGTGCCCGCGCACATGCAAGCATGCATACCAGTAGTGAGACTTGAACTCAGGAACTGGGCTTTGTCCCTTAGCTTTTTCGATCTAGACTGGTGTTCTACCATTTGAACCACAGCTCCACTTCCAGCTTTTTGCTGGTTAATTGAAGATGAGAGTCTTGTAGACTTTCCTGCCTGGACTGGCTTTGAACCTTAACCCTCCAGATCTCAGCCTCCGGAGTAGCTAGGATTACAGGCATGAGCCACCAGTGCCTGGCTCCAACTTTGCTTTTAACATGGGATCGGTAATCAGCCTTTATCCTGCTCTACTGAAGGTTCCCAGGATTAGCTGAGTCAGGCTCACACCAGGATTTTTGGGACTGACCTAGCGGATGATGACCTGGAAGTTTATCATATCTGGCTGGTACAACTCATACTAGGAAATATGCCATATTTACTGTTTCAAATTAGAAAAATAAAATGATAGTCTTCATGGCTTTGGTGGTGTGAAGGTCAAAGGGATCACCTGGGAAACAGGGCCAGCCAAGAGGCCCTGTGGTTTGTCCAGGTTCTGCCTGGCAGCAGAGCAAAGACCAGGCAGCTGGAAGGTCCAGAGAAAGGTCACACACAACACTGGCGCCTGGCAGCCCTGTACACCATGCGGCGGGGCCCTGTCATTCCCACGGGTGCCCAGCAGGGGGAGCGCTTACCGGCCAGGTCCCTCTTGCCAATAGCCGCCAGGCCCTCAAACAGGGCTTTGCTGGGATCCTCTCCCGCCATGGCCACGCCGTGCAGCCAGATCAGCAGCATGCGGTGGCCGTGCTCCTGGTAGCTCCGGGGTCCTGCAGGTGATTAGCCAGTCAAGAGCTGATCTGGCACCCCTCTGGAGCCCACATCCATGCCACCCTTGGCCCCGCTGGGCACTCCCTGCTGCAGGAGGCCAAAGGCCTCCCTGGACCTTGCTCAGGGATGGCCAGGGCAAAGGGAGGAGCAGTTCTCTGACAAAAGTGGGCATGGGCCGTGCCACAGGCTCACGCCTGTAATCCTAGCTACTCAAGAGGCTGAGATCAGGGGATTGTGGTTCAAAGCCAGCCCGGGCAGGAAAGTCCATGAGAGTCTTATGTCCAATGAACCACTAAAAAGCCAGAAGTGGCTCAAGTGGTAGAGCACCCAGGCCCTGAGTTCAAGCCCAAGGACTGGGAAGTGGGGTTGGGATCTTGGGGGTCAGATGATCCTGGGAACCTTCCTGTTTCCTCAGCCCCGGGCATTTTTCTGGGCATCCACTACATTCTCTGCGGGGGGGGGGGGGGTTGGCATCTATCCTGGGGTAGCAGATGCACACACACTGGGGGGGGAGTGGGGGGGCTGCCTGTTCATGGCTGTGTTACAAACGAGCAGACAACAGAATGAGAGGCAGCTGGCCTCGCTCACCCCCCTGCACCCCGGTCCACAGCCCCAGCTGCTCTTGGGTAATAACCTGGAAGGCAAACTGGAAACTTACTGTCCCCTGGGGCCTGCTGGACTCTGTGACGGGGTTGGGTGTGGCCTGGCAGCGGGAAGGTCTCAAGCTTCCTAGCTGAATAGACAGCCATGTTTGGAATATAACTCTGCATGGTAGGGGTTAATGTACCCCCCCCCCTTTGTTTTTTTTGTTTTATTTGTCTGTCATGGGGCTTGAACTCTGGGCCTGGAACGCTGTCCCTCAGCTCTTCAGCTCTAGGCTAGTGCTCTGCCACTTGAGCCACAGCGCCACTTCTGGTTTTCTGGTGGTTTATTGGAGATAAGAGTCTCATGGACTTTCCTGCCCAGGATGGCTTTGAACTACGATCCTCAGATCTCAGCCTCCTGAGTAGCTAGGATGACAGGTGTGAGTTACCAGCATGTGGCTTTTTACCCTATTTCATGCCTTAGTACAAAGGTTGAAATTTCCAAATAGATATCAAATAACAGTGATGACATAGGGCCTTTTCTTTCCACTAGGGATGGCTTTCGATGCAGAGGTGGTAGGTGGGTACAGCTGGGGTAATTCTGAGGGTGTCTGTGGCTTTCCTGGGTCACTGCGGGGAGGACTCAGGCCTGGAGGATTGGGGCAGCACAGGAAGAGGTGGAGGCTGTGCGGGCTCTGGGCTGCGGGTTGCCCTGGGTGGGGTGGGGGCCAGGCGGTACCTGTCCACTGTTGCTCAATGGCGGAGACGTGGGCCTCGGTGAAGCGCCAGGAATCCGCCAGCCTCTTCCACTCGTGGGGCCGCAGGCAATTGGAGGCGAGGTTCCAAAGCAGAGTGCGGAGCGGCTGCGTTTCGGGCCGGTGGTCCTGCTTGAAGGTCACGTTCTTCCTGGGGGGCTGGCTGGGGTCCCTGCAGGAGAGGTGATCCTGGGGAGCAGATCCCACCATACACAGCTGTCTGTGGGGGCTCCCTGCCAGTGCAGGTCCCCCCTTCCTCTCCCCCTCCCCCGTGACCTTGGACAGGGGTGATATAGAGCCCATTACCCACCTGAGCTGGGCAGCCTGAGAAACTGAGTCAGCCTGCCACTTAATGTACATCAGACTGTTTCCGTTTGGTTTGGGCCGAGGCTTGAACTCAAGATCTAGGTGCCATCTTTGAGCTTCTTTTGCACAAGGTGAGTGCTCTACCCCTTGAGCCACAACTGCCACTTCCGGTTTTCTGGTAGCTCCCTAGAGATAAGAATCTCTGGGCTTTCCTGCCTGGGCTGCCTCTGAACTGCGATCCTCCGCTCTCAGCCTCCTGAGAAGCTAGGATTACAGGCGAGAGTCACCAGCACCTGGCCAGATTGGCTTCTGACTCTGAGCCTTGCCTCAGCTTCTGGAACCCAAACTGCTGGCACTGTCCTCCCACAGGCTCTGTTATTCGCCTGCCTGACCCTTAACCCCACGGGTATAGTGAAAAGATCATTCCTGTGCTGCCGCCTCCAGGAAGCCCGCCCAGATTTCTCATGGTTGAGGAGCTGTTTGTATGTCTTTGTTTTGGCTGTGCTTAGGATCAAACCCTGGACCTCCTGCGTGCTAGGCAGGTATCTGACAGCTGAGCTACATGGCCAGCCTCTGTGTTCTTCTAGCACGGGGCTTGGTAGGACCACTGAGAAATTGTGGCCAATACCAGGTAGGTTAAGTACCAGGCTTGCTGAATCCCAGCAAGTAGAGAAGGGGGGATTGTAAAGTTCTTTGTAGGCAAAGCAAGTGCGAACATGACGGATCACACAGGCATAAATGAAGCCCACACAAGCCCAAGCTCCTCTACAGGAATGAATATGGGACTCTAATTGTTACAACATCAAAGGTAAGGGGCAACAGTGGCTCATGCCTCTAATCCTACTACTCAGGAGGCTAAAATCTAGAGGACTACAGTTTGAGGCCAGCCTAGGCAGGAAAGTCTATAAGATTCTATCTCTAGATGCCAGTCAAAATCTGGGATGGAAGTATGGCTCAGGTGGTAGAGTAACAGCCATGAGCAAGCAAGCCAAGCAAGAACACAAGGCCCTAGTCAAACCTCTCTATCAGCAAAAAAAAGAAAATATTAACTTTTGAGCCAGGCACTGGTGGCTCACACCTGTAATCCTAGCTACTCAGGAAGCTGAGATCTGAGGATCAAGGTTCAAAGCCAGGGGCTGGGAAGTTGGCTCAGTGGTAGAGCGCTTGCCTTGCATGCCTGAGGCCCTGGGTTTGATTCCTCAGCACCACATAAGCAAAAAGAAAAAAGCCGGAAGTGGTGCTGTGGCTCAAGTGGTAGAGCACTAGCCTTGAGCTGAAGAGCTGAGGGACAGCGCCCAGGCCCAGAGTTCAGGCCCCATGACCGGACCAAAAAAAAATAAGGTTCAAAGCCAAGCTAAGATTCTTCCCTTCCCCCCTTCTCCCCCCCTTCTCCTCCCCTCCCTCCCCCCCCCCCCCCCCCCCGCTCCAGTCCTAGGGCTTGAATTCAGGGCCTGGGCACTGTCTCTAAGTTTTGCTCAACGCTAGCACTCTACCACTTGAGCCACAGTGCTACTTACGACTTTTTCTGTTTATGTGGCACTAAAGAATCAAACCCAGGGCTTCATGCGTGCTAGCCAAGCATCTACCACTAAGCCACATTCCAAGTCTAATGATAATTTTTGGGAAATTATTATTAATATTTTTTGGGTCCGGTCGTGGGGCCTGAACTCTGGGCCTGGGCGCTGTCCCTCAGCTCTTCAGCTTAAGGCTAGCACTCTACCACTTGAGCCACAGTGCCACTTCCAGCTTTTTTTTTTTTCTGCTGCTTATGTGGTGCTGAGGAATCGAACCCAGGGCCTCATGCATGCAAGACAAGCACTCTACCACTGAGCCACCTTCCCAGCCCAGGAAATTATTATTGTAGTGCAAAATATACTGTGTATAAAAACACCTTAGGTCAGGCATGATGGATTATATGCCTATCATCCTAGCACTCAGGAGGATGTGGTAGGAGGATCACAAGTTTGAAGTCAGAGAGCTACATAGAGACACCTTGTCTCAAAAAAAAAAAAAAAAAAAGAAAGAAAGAAAGAGAAAGAAAACAGAAACACCGTCAAGCATACCAAAACAAAAAACAAAAAACATCGCTTCCATTCTGCCTCTTTCTCTCCCCCAAGTCCAGAGCAGACATCACTAATCAATAGCCACATGCTTTCTGAGTTCTGAAAGTTACTCAAACACAGTGCTCCAAGGCAGCTGTCACTGGGAGCTGGAGGTGGAATGGAGCCAACTTGTCCCTACTTTGCCACACCTGTGTCCCTCAGGCAGAAGTCGGAGCAGTGACCATGGCAGGTCCATGCCACCATGAACCTGAGCTGGCCTCGTGCAGTACTGGTGGAACTCGCCCATCTCTCGATCCTCAGATACAAGCTTGGTGGTACACGGGGTGGGGTTCTCACCATTGGGAGAAGGCCTGGGACTCAAAGCTAGCTCTGCCCTGGGGCTGAAGCAGTGCAGAGACTGGTGGCGATCGGGCCTCCGTACCTTCTCCCATCTGTAGAAACGGTCGGCTTTTATGATCATGTCCACCAAGCCCACGTGGTTGCTGCGGGCGGCCACTGCCAGGGCGGTTTTTCCTTGCTGCGAGGAAGAGCCAGAAGGGAAGTTTCCCCAGGGGGCTTCAGGGAAGCTTCTGGACTGACCACAAACCCTCTTGCCCAAGAAAGGGTGGGGAGCAGAAGGGTTTTCTGGCTGTAGGACTCGGGTGCGGGGGTCACGGGTAGAATAAAACAGTAGCCAGGAATCATTACTTATTACTTCCATGTTTCTTAGGACTTTGATACATTAGAGTTTGGGGAGTGTGTGTGTGTGTGTGTGTGCGCATGCGTGCCAGTCCTAGGACTTGAACTCAGGCCTGGGCGCTGTTCCTGAGCTTTTTTCTCACTACTAACTGCTCTACCACTTGAGTCACAGCTCCACTTTCAGTTTTCTGGTAGTCAATTGGAGATAAGAGTCTCACAGACTTTTTTGCTCAGGCTGGCTTTGAACTGTGACCCTCGGATCTCAGCCTCCTGAGTGGCTAGGATTACAGGTGTGAGCAGTGCCCGGCAATGCGGGGGTTCTTGCATTTGTGGCAGGGTCTCTGGTGAGGAGGGAGCCCCAGGAGGTGGCTGAGGGGGAAATACCTTATCTTTCAGATTGAGGTCAACCCCAGCGACCAGGAGCATCTCCGCTACATCCTGGAAGGCGTGCTCCGCGGCCAGGTGGAGGGGCGTCTGCTGCCTCTGGTGAAGACAGGTGAGCAGCTCACAGATTTGCCAGAAGCCAGTGGCTCACGCCTGTCATCCTAGCTACTCAGGAGGCTGAGATCTGAGGATCGTAGTTCAAAGCCAGCCTAGGCAGGAAAGTCCCCGTGAGACTTTTATCTCCACTTAACTACCAGAAAGTTAGGAAGTGGTGCTGTGGCTCAAGTGGTAGAGCGCCTGCCTTAAGCTGAAGAGCTCAGGGACAGTGCCTAGGCCCAGAGTTGAAGCCCCATGACCAACAACAACAAAAAATAAAGTCAAAGAAAGAAAAGGTTAAAGGTAGGAGATGCTTACTGCAGTATTATGCCTACCATGGCCAAAATGTAGAAACAACCAAAAAAAATCACCTTCAATAAACATTCAAATGAGGTTGTTTTTTTTTTTATTTTTGGGGGGGGGGTTCGGTCGTGGGGCCTGAACTCTAGGCCTGGGCGCTGTCCCTCAGCTCTTCAGCTCAAGGCTAGTGCTCTACCACTTGAGCCACAGCGCCACTTCCGGCTTTTTTTCTTTTTTGCTTATGTGGTGCTGAGGAATCGAACCCAGGGCCTCAGGCATGCAAGGCAAGCGCTCTACCACTGAGCCACCTTCCCAGCCCCGAAATGAGGTTTTTCTTTCTCTTTTTCTTTTTGTACCTGGCCTGGGGCTTGAACTCAGAGCCTGTCTGAACATTTTTTTGCTCAAAGCTAGTTCACTACCACTTGGGCCACAGCTCCACTTCTGGCTTTTTGCTGGTTACCTGGAGAGCTAAGAAAGAGTCTCAGGGACTTTCCTGCTTGGGCTGGCTTTGAACCACAATCCTCAGAGCTCAGCCTCCTAAGTAGCGAAGATGACAAGAGTCAGACACCACTGGCAGCCGGCTCAAACAAGTTTTAAGAGCTGAACGGGGGGGGGGGGGGGTCCCTTTGTTCTGAACAAGTAGGCTGGAGGCCCCTGTCCCCACTTACGCTGTCCACGGCATCCAGATCACTGTGGGCGGCAATGAGCAGTTGCACCACAGCAGGGAAATTGCGGCTGGTGGCAAGGTGCAGGGGTGAGGCGCCCCGCTGCGGAGGGAGAACCAAGTCAGTGTGGATCCCTCCGGATCTTCCCAGTGCCTCATTGGGCCTGGGGGCCAGGGGCTGCCGTCAGGAAGACCTAGGCAGGTGCCTATGATTGGTGACCAGATAAAGCCAGCCAGAGCCAGAAAACCCCATTCCACACTTAACTTGCCAGGCCTCTTTCAAGGCTGGGAGTACCAGCCCCAGGAGTCCCCTCAGGCCCTTGACAAATGACAAAGTAGAGCTAGCGCCACAGCACTCCCGCAGATGACACGCATACTGTGGAATAGTACTGAGCCAGCAAAAGTCATGTGAGCGATCTACGCCTATTGTGAAGGTTGCAGAAACTGGGTGTTTGTGGCTCACTCTTGGAATCCTAGCTCCTCAGAGGCTTGGATCTGAGGATAGAGGTTCAAAACTAGCCCAAAGCCAGGCTTTGGTGGCTCACGCCTGTAATCCTAGCTACTCAGGAGGCTGAGATCTGAGAATCATGGTTCAAAGCCAGCCTGGGCAGGAAAGTCTTTGAGACTCTTATCTCCAATAAACCACCAGAAAACTGCAAGTGGTACAGTGGCTCAAGTGGTAGAGCGCTAGCCTTGAGCTGAAGAGCTGAGGGACAGCGCCCAGGCCCAGAGTTCAAGCCCCACGACCAACCAAAACAAACAAAAAATAAAACAGCCCAAGCAAACATCCAAGAAATGCTTATCTCCAAAAAAAAAAAAAAAAAAAACCAACAAAAAGCCCAAACTGGAGCTGTGGTTCAAGTGGTAGAGTGCCTGGTCTATCCACAGGACTGTTCTGAGTCTTCCATGCAGCTAGCTCCTCAGGTCCGGGCCCCACCCCAATCCAAAGTGCTATTTCTCTCCTCTATGTTTCACAATGGGGACCCCTCAACCCAGGCCCCCAAACTTACATGATCAGCCACATTAACGCAGCCTCCTGCCCTAACGAGGGCGCGGGACACGTCCTCAGAACCACTGAGGGCCGCGTAGTGAAGGCAGCTCCGCTTTTTCTAGAAGGAAACAGCTGTCAGTGCCAGCAGGACGTCTCCTAATGGGGACACTGTGGCAGGCGTATTCCATCTGGGAATTCAGTGACTTGCCCAGACCCGCTGACTTGTTACAAGGGGACTATGGTGGCCCGGCACTGCTGGTTCACATTTGTAATCCTAGCCACTCAGGAGGCTGAGACTTGAAGATTGAAGTTCAAAGCCAGCCTGGGCAGGAAAGTCCATAAGAGGGTTTTTGTTTTTGTTTTGTCGATCGTTGGGCTTGAACTCTGGGCTTGGGCGCTGTCCCTCAGCTCTTCAACACAAGGCAAGCGCTCTACCACTTGAGCCACTGTACCACTTGTCGTTTTCTGGTGGTCAATTGGAGATAGTCTCACGGTCTTTCCTGCCCAGGCTGGCTTTGAACCGTGATCCTCAGATCTCAGCCTCCTGAGTAGCTAGGATTACAGGCCTGAGCCACCAGTGCCCGGCTGAGGTGTTGTTATTGTTGTTGTTGTTTTTGCCAGTCCTGGGGCTTGGGCTCAGGGCCTGGGCACTGTCCCTGAGCTTCTTTTGCTCAAGGCTAACACTCTACCACTTGAGTGACAGGACCAATTCTGGCTTTCTCTTTTTATGTAGCACTGAGGAATCGAACCCAGGGCTTCATGCATGCTAGGCAAGCACTCTACCACTAAGCCACATTCCCAGCTGAGTCCATGAGACTCTTATCTCCAATTAACTACCAGACAAGCAGAAGTGGCACTGTGGCTCAAGTGGTAGAGCACTAACCTTGAGCAAAAAACGGCTCAGAGACAGTGCCCAAACCTTGAGGCAAAACAAAACAAAAAACCCATGATTTCAAAAAAAAGAGGAGACTATTGTGTTCTCAACCTGCCTGTCATTCCTGTCATAAGCTCTGGCACACAGACCAAAGCATGCCAGCCAAGACACACAGATGATTGACTTTGAGAAGATGACTTCATAAATGAGGACAAGCCAGTCTGGCCAGTGCCACGGGCAGAGGCCACAGCGGCACGTGCTGGCCGGCTGCAGTTGATGCCCTCATGTCTGAGCGAGTCTGTAGGAGACTCCCTGGGTTCCTGCAGTCAGCAGGGAGAGCTAGACCCATGATGGGAAACACAGCAGGCAGGCCCAACTTCAGTACCCAAACTGTTCCAGTGTGCCAGGCTGGGGAGACCCTGAGATATGCAAATTGCAGGATTTTGACCCCAGTGTTTTGCGCATGCTCAGCTTACTTTGCTCAGCTGGCGCTCTACCACTTGAGCCACACCTCCAGCACCTGCTTTTTGCTTGTTGTTTTGGCGATGGGATTCTTGTAGACTTTTCTGCCCTGGCTGGCCTCCAACCTCAATCCTCCTGACGCGCTAGGATTATAGGTGTGAGCCACTGGTGCCCAGCTTAACATAGATGCTAGATGGCAAACAGGGCTCAGAGAGGGTAAGCAAGGTGCCCAAGCTCACAGAGCTTGGGGGGGGAAGGAAGAGGCACCAAGACCAGAACCTGGGTGTGCTGCCTCTGCATTCACACCATGAAACGTTCAGGAAATGCCGTAGCTTTGTCTGTGGGCTTAGAGTTCAAAACCACCCAGGGCCCGGCCACCTGGGTGAGGGCGTTCACGCGGCTCCCGGCTCTGAGGAGGACTTGCACACAGTCGGAGTGGATTCCTTCAGCAGCCGAGTGCAGGGCCGTGAGGCCTTCCTGAAGCGCAGGGCAAGGGGGGTGAGGGCCAGGCCTGTGGCTGGGGACCAGCGGCCTCTGAGCTGCCCTTCCTCCTGGGTGACATCATAGCAGCACAATCCCATCCCTGTATCTCCGCTCATCTTCTGTTCCGCCTCCTCCAGGAAGCCTTCCCTGAACACCCCGGACACATCCTGAGTCCCCCCCCAACCTGCCCGGCACCCTCTCACCCCGAGTTCTGGGCTGTGGCTGGGTTTTTGTCCCCCCCCCAGGCAGTTGACAAAGGGAAGACAGGGCCTCTACCAAGGGAGGACGGGATGGCACCATGCCTTACCACATTCTGCTCCTCCAAGTCCAGCCCGATGTCCACAAGCCGCTGCACCACAGCTGCATGGCCCTGCCCGGCGGCCAGGTGAAGGGCTGTGTTCCCCTCCTGCGGGAGAGGGTACCTGAGGGGCGGGCACAGGGAGCCCCAGAATCACACAGTCCCATGGGACTCGGCTGGGATCTGCAAACACATTTCCCCCCCCCCCCCCCCCCCATCTTACAGACACAGTAGCTGAAGCCCAGAGACCACAGGTCCAAAGCCACAGGGACAAACCATGAAGGCCGTACAGAATCAAGCCTTAGTTTCTCCTTCTTATACTTCAAGACACTCATTGGACTGGCGGCCTGGCTCAGTGGTGAAGTGCCAGCTGTGAGCAAGCATGCCAAGTAAGAACACGAGGCCCTGAGTTCAAGTCCACGCCACTCACAGGCAAGGTAGATATAGGGCTTTAAAAAGAAAACAAAAGGGCTGGGAAGGTGGCTCAGTGGTAGAGCGTTTGCCTTGCATGCTCGAGGCCCTGGGTTCGATTCCTCAGCACCGCATAAGCAAAAAGAAAAAAGCTGGAAGTGGTGCTGTGGCTCAAGTGGTAGAGCGCTAGCCTTGAGCTGAAGAGCTGAGGGACAGCGCCCAGGCCCAGAGTTCAAGCCCCAGGACTGGCAAAAATAAATAAAACAAAGCTGGGTACTAGTGGTTCACACCTGTCATCCTAGCTCCTTAGAAGACTGTGATCAAGAGGATCGCTGTTCAAGGCCAGCCTAGGTAGGAAAGTCTGTGAGCTTCAGCTAACCAAGTGGAGCAAATGCAAAGCCCTTAATTCAAACCCTGAACCAGCAAAATAATAATAATAATAACAGTAATAATAAACAAGCATAGGGAGGAAGATCATCACTTGAGTCCAAGAATTTGAGGCCAGCTGGGCCACATGGCAAATGCCTACCCAAAAGAGAGGAGGAGGAGGAGGAGGAGGAAGAGAAGGAGGAGGAGGAGGAGGAGTAAAATGAGGAAGAGGATCTTAGAAGCCAGCTTTGGGGTGGGTCTCTTTTTGCTTGCAAAGGTGATGTACAGAAGGGTTACGGTCACACAAGTCAGGTAATGAATTTGTTTTTGAACAGCGTTACCCTCCCTCATTTTCTCCTGCAAGGGGGTCTTACTCAGAGGACACCTGGTGTGGGGGGGTTAGGGCGGTAACAGGACCTCTGTAAAAGGGGAGCAGCTGGAAGTAGCTGATCAGAGAAAGGTATGTCCTAAAGACGAAGCACAGGGGAGCAGAGACCCCCCCAACAGTCCACAGGAAGCATCTAGAAAGGAAGATCCAGCTTTGCCTGTTCTTCACAACTCCCCTTCAAGCTGTCCCCTCCCTCCATCTCAGCCACTTCCTAAAGGAAGAATCTAGCCACCCGCATTCCACACAGGGGTTTGCTTAGAGTCCACTGAAGACGAGACATATTCCACTCCTGATTCAGTGTTGAAATTGTGTAAAGCGTCTCTGATCATACAAAACAATATATACTGAGCCGGGCGCTGGTGGCTCACGCCTGTAATCCTAGCTACTCAGGAGGCTGAGATCTGAGGATCTCGGTTCAAAGCCAGCCGGGGCAGGAGAGACCGTGAGACTCCTATCTCCAATAAACCACCAGAAAAACCAGAAGTGGTGCTGTGGCTCAAGTGGTAGAGCGCTCGCCTTGAGCTGAAGAGCTGAGGGACAGCGCCCAGGCCCAGAGTTCAAGCCCCACGGACACCAAAAAACAAAACAAAAAACCAATATATACTGAACTGAGTACCAGGAAGTAGAAATGAGAGAGGTTTTTTTTCTCTTTGCTGCTGTTTTTCTTTTTTGCATCTTGTTAGTTCGTTTATCTGTCTTTGGGAGGGTAAGCAGGGTACAGAAATGGAGGGACAAGGGGTGAGCAAATGCAGTAGTGGTACTCACTAGACACTAGGTTGCAAATGAGCTAGACAACTTGGGGGTGGCGATGGGAGGGAAAAACGGAGAGAGCGAGGGAAGGGGTGACCTTGTGCAAAAAGAAATGAACTCTTTATGTGAAGTATGTAACTGCAACCTCTCTGTGCATCACCTGTATAAGAACAATGTGAAAATTATTTGTTAATCAATAAAAAAATATGTTAAATGTAGCTTGGGGCTGGGAAGGTGGCTTAGTGGTAGCATGCTTGCAATAGCATGCATGAAGCCCTGGGTTCGATTCCTCAGTATCACATATACGGAAAAAGCCAGAAGTGGCGCTGTGGCTCAAGTGGTGGTAGAGTGCTAGCCTTGAGCAAAAGAAGCTCAGGGACAGTGCCCAGGCCCTGAGTTCAAGCCCCAGCACTAGCAAAATAAAAGCACTAAAGAATGTTAATATCCCATCCCCTTAAATGACAGATTCACACATACATAGCACACACAAAACAGCTATAGCTTTTTTTTCTTTTCTTTTTGTACCGTCCCTGAACTCTTCCTCCTCTCTACCTTTCCCCCTCTTACCCCCCCCCCCCCCCCAATTGAACTCAGGGCCTGGGTATTGTCCCTGAGCTTCTGTGCTCAAGGCTAGTGATCTACCACTTTGAGCCACAGTTCTACTTTTGGTGTTCTGGGGGGTTGGAAATGAATCTCACAGACTTTGCTCCCCCCCCTTCCCCCCCCCCCCCAGTCCTAGGGCTTGAACCTCAAGGCCTGGGCACCGTCCCTGAGCTTCTTTTGCTCAAGGCTAGCATTCTGCCATTTGAGCCACAGCACCACTTCCGGCTTTTTCTGTGTATGTGGTAGTGAGGAATCCAATGTGGGGCTTCATGCATGCTAGGCAAGCACTCTACCACTGAGCCACATCCCGACCTATCATGGACTTTCTTGCCTGGCTTTTAAGTGAAATCCTCAAATTTCAGCTACCTTTGCTTTTTTTTTTCTCCTCCTTATTTTGGTGGTAGCAGGGTTTGAACTGAGGGCCTAGAACCTGTTTGGTGCACACTCTAGCACGTGAGCCACTTGGCTGGTGCAGTTATGGACTTCTTAGAAGGCTAACGATAAAATATTCAAATTACCCTTTGGATCAGCAGTGTGTTATACTGATACTTGCGGGAGGGAGCAGGGACTTGAATTCAGGGCTTTGTATTCTCCCTTACCACTCAAGGCTGGCACTTTGCCACAGATCCATTTCTGGCTTTTTGCTGGCACCCTGGAGATAAAGAGTCTCTCGGTTTGTTTGCTTAGGCTGACTTCAAACCCCAATCCTCAGATCTCAGCCTCTTGAGTAGCTAGGATTACAAGCTTGAGCTACCAGCGCCTGGCTTATACAAATACCCTTAAAATCCCTCCTCTGCAGCTTTGTTCCAATCCTCCCATAGTCCACGGCCACATGCGCAGTGGCTCAGCCAAAATACAGACAGGAAGGACACAGTGAGGGTACCATGGGGCTCAGGGGGCAGGGGTGGAGCCAGCAGAAGGCCTCGATCATCCTGGGTTTGAAGCCCCAGGTTCTGCCCTTGGAGGTACCCACAGGGAAGGGTGGATGGGGCCTGAGCCCTTGTGGTCACAGTACCTTATCCTTGACAGTGTGATCACAGCCGGAGCCCACAAGGAAGTCCAGCGCGTCCAGCTGTCCGTGCTCAGCAGCTCTGTGAAATGCCGTCCTTCCCAGCTGGCCAGGAGAGGTCAGTGAGCCTCCTCGCCCGGTCCTCCCGGCCTCTGCCTCCGACCACACTTGGCCTCTCTTACCCCAGATATTCTCTGTAAAAGTCCTCACTGCCCACACCTGCCTGGAAAGGCCAGACTCAACCCCACAAGAGCAGTCTGTTGGGGGTCCCCTCTCGCTGCCATCCTTTGGTAGCTCCCCGGCTGCCTATTGAAAGGCAAGATCTCCCCCCAGAGGCCCCTAGACCTCGCTGGCCTTCTGGCCAAGACTCCAGTCCACCTGAACCCACCTACTAGGGACCCTTTCCGCCTCTGAAGCTCCCAGAGCATCCTCTTTCCAACATTACCCCCAAGGCACCAAGGGCCACCTCCTCCAGGAAGCAGAATGCAGCACTCCTTTTTTCTTTTTTGCTGGTGGTAGGGCTTGAACTCTGGGCCTGGGCGCTGTACCTCAGCTCTTGAGCTCAAGGTTAGCGCTCTACCACTTGAGCCACATCGCCACTTCCGGCTTTTTTCTTTTTGCTTATGTGGTGCTGAGGAATCGAACCCAGGGCCTTATGCATGCAAGGCAAGCGCTCTACCACTGAGCCACCTTCCCAGCCCCTTATTTTCTTTTTTTTTTTTTTGGTCAGTCATGGGGCTTGAACTCTGGGCCTGGGTACAGTCCCTCAGCTCTTCAGCTCAAGACAAGTGTTCTACCACTTGAGCCCACTTCCAGTTTTCTGATGGTTTTTTATTGAAGAGTCTCACAACTTTCCTGCCTAGGCTGGCTTTGAACCGTGATCCTCAGATCTCAGCCTCCTGAGTAGCTAGGATTACCGGCGTGAGCCACTGTTACCCAGCTTTTTCTTTCTTTTCTATGCCAGTCCTGGGGCTTGAACTCAGGGCCTAGGTGCTGTCCCTAAGCTCGTTTCATTTAAGGCTGATGCTCTACCACTTGAGCCACAGTTCTACTTCTGGCCTTTTGATGATTAAAGTAGATAAGAGTCTCATAGACATTTGCTGCCTCGGCTGGCTTTGAACCACAGTCCTCAGATTTCAGATACCTGAGCAGTAGGTTATAGACATGAGCCATTGACATGCCAGGCTCCAATGCTTCCTTTTCTTTTCTTTTTTTTTTTTGGGGTCCGGTCGTGGGGCCTGAACTCTGGGCCTGGGCGCTGTCCCTCAGCTCTTCAGCTCAAGGCTAGCGCTCTACCACTTGAGCCACAGCACCACTTCCGGCTTTTTTCTTTTTGCTTATGTGGTGCTGAGGAATCGAACCCAGGGCCTCAGGCATGCAAGGCAAGCGCTCTACCACTGAGCCACTTTCCCAGCCCTCCAATGCTTCCTTTTCTAACACATCAAGCCCTTGATCAGTGCCTCCCAGAGGCAACTGGCCATGTTTGCCTCTACATCCTGCCATCTGCCCGAGTGCTCCCTCCAGGTGGAATCCAGTCTGCCCAATGACCAAAAGAGGCTTCAAGCAGGGGCACTGGTGCTCACGCCTGTAATCCTAGCTGCTCGGGAGGCTGAGATCTGAGGATCACAGTTTGAAGGCAGCCCGGGTAAGAAAGTCCTTGAGATTCTCATCTCCAAACAGCCAGCAAAAAAGTCAGACGTGGAGCTGTGGCTCAAAGTGTTAGAGCGCTAGCCTTGAGCACAAAAGCTAAGGGATAGCAACCAAGCCCTGAGTTCAAGTCCCAGGACTGGCTCTTGGTTTTAAGACCTGGACTTCCATCAATGGGAGGAACGCATAGCTTCGCAGGGCTCTCACCTTATCTGCCTGGTCCAGGGCCACATCTTCCAGGTCTTCCATTATGAACACCAGCACAGGCACGTGACCTCTCTGGGCTGCACAGTGCAGTAAAGTCAGGCCATCCTGGAAACAAGCCCAGGGTAGGCCCTGTGCTCTATGAAGGGAGGCTTGCCCATCCACTGTCAGATCCCAGGCACAGCTCCCCGCAGGAACCACACTGCGCATGACCAAGGGGCTGGGGGAGGTCTACACACCTCCAGGAGTCACCATCCCAGAAGTCAAAGGCCGGGTCTGCACCCATCAGCTCCCAGTCCTGGGCCAACTGCCTCTCTACCTGGCTGAGCATTTGCACAAATCAGGATCATAAAACCTGACTCCCAGCTGGGCACTGGTGACTCATGCCTGTAATCCTATCTATTCAGGAGGCTGAGATCTGAGGATCACAGTTCAAAGCCAGCCCAGGCAGAAAAGTCCGTGACATTTATATCCGATTAATCAGCAGAAAACTGGAAGTGGCGCTGTGGCTCAAGTGGTAGAGCGCTAGCCTTGAGCTGAAAAGCTGAGGGACAGCGCCAGAGGGACAAGCCCAGAGTTCAAGCCCCCTGACCACCCAAAAAAAAGAAGAAAACCTCTGACTCCCTTAAATATCAACTCAAAGTGGATCAAGGACCTCAATATGGGCTGGGAATGTGACTTAGTGGTAGAGTGTTTGCCTAGCATGCATGAAGCCCTGGGTTCAATTCCTCAGTAGCACAGACACAGAAAAAGTAGAAAGTGGCACTGTGGCTCAAGTGGTAGAATGCTGGCCTTCAGCACAGAGAGGCTCAGGGACAGAGCCCAGGCCCTGAGTTCAAGCCCCAGGACTGGCAAAAAAAAAAAAAAAATAGAAAGAAAATGTGGTAGCTATACACAAGGGAATTTTACACAGCCATTAGAAAGAATAATATTATGTCATTTGCAAGGAAACAGATGAACCTAGAATAATCATGTTAACTGAGGTAAGCCAAGCTCAGATTTTCTCTCATATGTGGAAGCTAAAATACACAGAGATACGACAAATTATACAAGACTCTAGGCATTCACACACAGTGAGACCAAAGGAGGGCACTCTTAGGAGAGGAACACAAAGGCGCAAGGCCTAAGTACCTCTGATCATATAAAAAAACATTAATTGAAATGAACTCCAGGAAATGGAAACAAGCCCCCAAATGCAAAATTTTTAATGTGAGATGCAAATAGCTGACACAAGATGTAGGTATTGATATTTATTATATTTATCACTGAAAGAAATGCAAAATTTTTCTGGGTACTGGTGACTCACACCTGTAATCCTAGTTACTCAGGAGGCTGAGAGCCGAGGATCGCGGTTCAGAGCCAACCTGGCAGGAAAGTCTGTGAAACTTTTTTTTTTTTTTTTTTTGGTGTGTCATGGGGCTTGAACTCTGGGCCTGGGCGCTGTCCCTCAGCTTTCCAGCTCCAGGCTAGCACTCTACCACTTGAGCCACAGCACCACTTCTGGCCTTTTCTGTTCATGTGGTGCTGAGGAATCGAACCCAGGACCTCAGGCTTGCAAGGCAAGCGCTCTACCACTGAGCCACCTTCCCAGCCCTCTGTGAGATTCTTATCTCCAATTAACCACCAAAAAACTGGAAGTGGAGCTGTGGCTCGAATGGTAGAGTGCTAGCTTTGAGCAAAAATAGCTCAGGGACAGCATCCGGGCCCTGAGTTCCAGCCCCACACATAACTGATTTAAAAGAAAGAGGGCTGGGAAGGCGGCTCAGTGGTAGAGCGCTTGCCTTGCATGCATGAGGCCCTGGGTTCGATTCCTCAGCACCGCATAAGCAGAAAAAGCCAGAAGTAGCACTGTGGCTCAAGTGGTAGAGTGCTAGCCTTGAGCTGAAGAGCTGAGGGACAGCGCCCAGGCCCAGAGTTCAAGCCCCACGACTGGCAAAAATAAATAAATAAAATTAAAATAAAAAAGAAAGAAATGAAAATTTTCAAGTAGAACTTAGTAAAATAAATAAGTAAATAAATAAATATGCTGGTTTAAAAAATCCAAGTTCATTGGTGCCCTGAATTCTTTCCCAGTACCCAGGTTGAAAACACCTTCTGGAAGGGATTTGGCCTGGAAATGCTGGCCTTTCCTAAAAGACTATCGACCTGGCTAGGAACATGGCTTAATGGTAGAGCGCTTGCCTAGCATGCATGAAGCCTTGGGTTCCATTCCTCAGTATCACATACACAGAAAAAGCCACAAGTGGCACTGTGGCTCAAGTAGTAGTGTTAGCCTTGAACAAGAGAAGCTCAGAGACAGTGCCCAGGCCCTGAGTTCAAGCCCCAGGTCTGGCAGAGAGAGAGAGACAGAGACAGAGAGACAGAGACAGAGAGAGAGAGAGAGAGAGACCATTGACCCCCTGAAAAGACAATAATAAATAATAAATAAATCCAGGCATTATGACTTTCTGGGCCTCCTCCCTGCACACACACACACACACACACACACACACACACACACACACACACACACACACACACACACACACACACACACACACACGAGCTCATCAGGGGTCAGCTCCCAAGCCTAGAACAGTTTACTGGGTGGGTAAACGGAAGCTGGCCTAACCATACAGACCTTTCCAGTCTTCCTAACTGCCCTTTGGGGCGCCTGCTGGGGTTCTCTCTGTAAGAAGGCCACTGGCGGGAGGGCTCAAGAGTGTTCTCAGAGGGGCTGTGCTGTGTATGATGAACTGGGGGTACCCACCCATCCCCACCCCAACCCCCATTTCCCTCACACACACACCCTCCCTTTCCCAGAGGCAGGAAGGCAGCCAGATAGAAGCTTCCCTGAACTCAGCTTAGCTCATCAGGGCTTTTCAGAAGGTTCTGGAGAGGCTGGGGCAGGGGAGGGGGCAGGGGAGGGGGGCCCAGCCCCTGGTTACCTTGTTCTCACAGTGGATCTTGGCCCCAGCGTTGACGAGGACCTGCAGGACCGGCAGGTGGCCAAACCAGGCGGACAGGAGAAGAGCGTTCATCCCGAACTGGGACAGAGGACAGGGAGGGGGAGGGTGTGAGTGGGCGGGGCTGAGCCTCTGGACGGCGTCCACCATAGGGCACCCTTTGTGCCACTCAACCCAGGTGTTCCCAAGATTAAGAAATGTAAAGATCCGAAACAGAGGCTGGCTTACTACTGTAAACATGTTTGTGTGGGTGTGTGTTGGTCCTGGGGCTTGAATTCAGGGCCTGGAGCTCTGTCCCTTAGCTTCTTCCATTCAAGGTTAGTGCTCTACCACTTGGGCCACAACTCTACTTCTGGCTTTTTGCTGGTTAACTGGAGATAGAAGTCCCATGGACATTCCTGCCTGGGCAACCGTGATGTTCAGGTATCAGTCTCCTGAGTAGCTAGGATTACAGGCGTGAGCACCTGGATGCTTTATTTTGGGGATAGAAACTTGTGTCTTTGGGGCTGGGAAGGTGGCTCAGTGGTAGAGCACTTGCCTTGCATGCCTGAGGCCCTGGGTTCGACTCCTCAGCACCACATAAGCAAAAAGAAAAAAGCCGGAGGTGGCGCTGTGGCTCAAGTGGTAGAGTGCTAGCCTTGAGCAGAGCAGAAGAGCTGAAGGACAGCGCCCAGGCCCAGAGTTCAGGCCCCATGACTGGACAGACACCCCCCCCCCCCAAAAAAAAAAAAAAAAAGAAAGAAAGAAACTTGTGTCTTTGCCCAAGGCTGGCCTGAAACAGAACCTCCTACTTCTGCCTCCTGAGTAAATGCACAATACCACACCTGGCTAATTTATTGAGGTCATCTCCTTAACTTTTTCCCCAGGTTGGCCTTGAACTGTGATTCTCCAGATCTCTATCTTCTAGTAGCTGGTATTATATGAGTGAGGCATTGCACCCAGCCCAGGAAGAACCACTTGAAAACAAAAAAAAAATGGAAGGCAGCAATCTCAGAATCTCCTTTTTTCTACTACAACTTTATGCTAAGTATACTGCAATGCTTCACTTGCTTCTTTCTTTCTTTCTTTCTTTCTTTCTTTCCTTCTTTCTTTCCTTCATTCTTTCTTTCTTTCTTTTTTGCCAGTCCTGGGGCTTGAACTCAGGGCCTGGGCACTGTCCCTGAGTTTCTTTTGCTCAAGGCTACCACTCTACCACTTGAGCCACAGCACCACTTCTGGCCTTTTTCTGCGTATTTGGTACTGAGGAATCGGATCCAGGGCTTCATGCATGCCAGGTAAGCACTCTACCACTGAGCCACCTTCCCCATGCCCCCCACCCCCAACTTTATTTCTTTTAATAGGGCTTGGTTATTTTTTATGCCAATCCTGAGGCTTGAACTCAACGCTTGGGCATTGTCACTTAGCTTTATTTGCTCAAGGCTGGTACTCTATCACTTGAGCCACAGATCCACTTCCAACCTTTTGGTGGTTAATTGATGATAAGAATCTCATAGAACTTTCTACCTCAGCTGACTTTGAATTGAGATCCTCAGATCTCAGTCTCCTGAGTAGCTAGGATTACAGGTGAGCAAGTTGTTTTTTATGGTATTAGCCGGAGCAAGAGCCCTACTTTCTCCTGATTACTTTGCTAACTAGGTCTTTATCAAACCACCAATTACTGGGCAATCTATGGCTGTCCACATGGGATGAAGGGATGGGAAGGTCTCCTGATTTGTAAGGTGCTTGATACTAAAGAGTTCTTTATTCCTGCACAGGGACCATGGAATAACTGGGCCCTGAAGACTAACCGGGGCCAGTCTGGACCTGAGCATTTGTATCAACAACAATCTCAACAATCGAAAAGCCGAGTACAGGTGCTTCATGCCTGTAATCCTAGCTCCTCAATAGGCTAAGATCGCAGTTTCAAAGTCACCCTGGGCAGGAAAGTCCATGAGGCTCTTATCTTCAACTAACCATCAAAAAGTTGGAAGTTGGAGCCATGGCTCAAGTGGTAGAGTGCTAGCCTTGAGAAAAAAAAAAGCTCAGGGAAGGCATCTAGGCCCTGAATTCAAACCCCAGAACAAGCACATACACACAAAAACAAAAACAAACAAACAGAATGGATAGCCAGGTTCTGGTAGCTCAACCCTGTAACCCTAGATACTCAGGAGGCCGAGATAGATCTGCAGATCATGGTTCAAAGTTGGCCCAGGCAGGCAAGTCCATGAGACTCTAATCTCCAATGAACCACCAGAAAACTGAAAGAAGAGCTGTGGCTCAAGCAGTAGAGCGCTGGCCTTGAGCAAAAGGACTCAGGAACGGTGCCTAGGCCCTGAGTTCAAGCCCCATGGCAAGCAGAAAATAATCATAATAACAATTAATAATAATAATTTTTTAAAGGTAAGATCTTGGATGCCCCACCCCTGCAAGGACAGACACATAGTCATGCCTACCAAATCCTCATCGTCCACAGCAGCCTTATACTCCAGGAGCAGCCGTACCGCCTGCAAATGCCCAGTGCCTGCGGCCCAGTGCAGGGCCACCCGGCCCACCTGCTGGGGAAGAGGAAATTTGTGATTGCCACCCGGCTGCCTGGCCTGGCTCCCACACCCTTCCCACCATGACAGCTGGTCTGCAGGCTGGCAGGTCCCTTACTGCCTCTGTCCAGCTGGCGGGGAGGGGCGGGGGGTAGAATCCAGCCCTACTCAGGCTCTTCCTCCCTAACTAGGCAGCAGCCCAAACAAACACGTAAAACACAGTGCTGGGCTCATGGCTTCTTACTAAGAGCCTACAAGGCTCTGCCCGGCCCCGCCCTCCACTGCATCTCAAAACTCCCAATGGGCCAGGTGCCAGTGGCTCCCGCCTGCAGTCTTAGCTACTCGGGAGGCTGAGATCTGAGGGTCAAGTTCAAAGCCAGCCCAGGCAGGAAAGTTGGTAAGATTCTTAGCTCCAATTAACCAGCAAAAAGCTAGAAGTGGAGCTGTGGCTCCATTGGTAGAGCACAAAACTCAGCAAAAGCGCCTGAGACCCTGAGTTCAAGCCCCAAGACCAGCATGAAAACAACAAACAAACAAACAAATGAAAAACTCAAGGGGTCTGGGTACTAGTGGCTCATGCCTATCATCCTAACTAGTCAGGAGGCCGAGATCTGAGGACTGAGGTTCAAAGCCAGGCTGGACAGACAAATCCAAGAGACTCTTATCTCCGATCAGCCAGCAAAAAGCTGGAAGTAGTTGTGGTTCAAGTGGCAGAGCACCAGCTGTCAGCAGAAAGAGCTGAGGAAGGAGACCCTGAGTTCAAGCAGCCAAAATCCTACAGCTATTACTGTTCCCCGGGACAGACATATCCCTGTAGTGTCCCCCCATACTTTGTAGCCCCTACCACCCTCAGGAATCTCAGTTCCAGAACCTTCCAGCCACAAGTCCCACAGCAAGGAAGGGAAGGGCTACCTATGTGGCACCCATGCCAGTTCTCACCATCTTTCCAGAAGAACTGGCTTCTCCTTCTATCTTCAGGCCAAGGACACCCCCTTGACCCATCCCCCCACTTACCTGCATCCTTCCCTTGAGCCTGGGAAGCAGGCTTTCCTCATTTGACCTCCCACAATGACCCTGAGCCTGGTCAAAAGGGATCATTGCCACACACACACACACCCAGTCTGCAGATTCTGGTCTCTCTTGGTCCTGAACCTCTGAACTTCCGCCCATAGGCATCTTCCAGCTCTGCTTCCCCATTGCTGCCCTTCCCGTGCTTCTCAGTAACTAACTTCTTTTTATTGCTTCCTTTCTTTCTTGAACTAAGACCTGAGCACTGCCCCTGAGCTCTTTTGCTCAAGGCTGGCACTCTACCACTTTGAGCCACAGCTCCACTTCCCCCACACATTTTATTTTATTTTATTTATTTTGCCGGTCATGGGGCCTGAACTCTGGGCCTGGGCACTGTCCCTCAGCTCCTCAGCTCAAGGCTAGCGCTCTACCACTTAAGCCACAGCGCCACTTCTGGCATTTTCTGCGTATATGGCGCTGAGGAATCGAACCCAGGGCCTCATGCATGCAAGGCAAGCACTCTACCACTGAGCCACCTTCCCAGCCCGACATTTTAATGTTTAACTGGAGATAAGAGGTTCATAAACTGGGCACTGGTGGCCTGTAATCCTAACTACTCAGGAGGCTGAGATCTGAGGATGGAGGTTCAAAGCCAGCCCAGACAGGAAAGTCCAGGAGACTCATCTTCAATAAACCACAGAAAATCGGAAATGGTGGTGTGGCTCAAGTGGTAGAGCACTAGCCTTGAGCTGAAGAGCTGAGGGACAGCGTCCAGGCCCAGAGTTCAAGCCCCACAACTGACATAAATAAATAAATACATAAAAAGTAAACAAATAAATAATAAATAATAAATAAATAAATAGGGTTTCATGGACTTTCCTGCCCAGGCTGGCTTTGAACCCTGATCCTCAGATCTCTGCTTCCTGAGTAGCTAGGATTACAGGCGTGAGCCACCAGCGCCCATCTAGTGTCTGATCTCTGCCGGCTGACCTTTAGCCTCCTGCCCTCCTGTTTCTACTCTTTGTCCTATCAAATAGGCCAGAATGATTCTTGAGTTTGACTCTGGAACGGCTAAGCTCAACTTAGAATCTTGACCCTGACCTTGGACCAGGCCCCAACTACTCAAGATGTCCAAGACCTCCATGACAATCGCGTGGATGGGGGAAGGGGGACGCCATGCAGGGCCCAGTACGCACGTGGTTTCTGGCCCTGACATTAACCCTCTTCTCCATCAGCTCCTTCATCCTCTCGATGTGGTTCTGGCGGGCGGCCTGGTGCAGCTGCTTCTCCAGGGGGAGCACTGGGGGAGGGGGGGGTGTTAGTGAGAAGAGGATCCCCCCCCCCCCATTCTGTAAGAGCTGCTCTTCTGGAAATGGATGGAATTCATTTCTCTCTCAGGGCACTGTCTGATTCAGAAAAGACAGCCAGGACTGCATGAGTCCACCGCAAGACTACACTCCCAGCGTAGTCCAGGTGTGGAAACCTTCTCTCCACTCCGCAATCCTAACCCTGTCACCACTCTGTCCTGAGGCGCAGCCTTGCTTTGCCTTCCCCCACAGTTTCCACTTCTCAGGTTAAGAAAGCCTTCGAGCTGATCCTGCTGAGCCACCGTCCCCACGCCGCCGTGCGCTCAGGCCAGGCAGCAGGTTACCATCTGAGCTGGGAGTCCCCAGGCCTGATAATAGGGTCTCATCCATAGCACCGCACCTCGGTCATCCTGACTACTGTCCTTGGCTGAACCACAGCTCCCTGGAGTGCTGGCCACCCCTGCTCTTCCCCATACAACACAGCTCTCAGCAAGCTGCAAGCTGGGCACTGGGAGAGACTCCCCAAACTCTGCTTCTCTGTGGGACAACACCTATCCAGACACACAGATGCCTTTTCTCCCCCAAGCAGGGCCCAGAAACCCTGGTAAGAGGACAAATATTGACTGGTCTGGCCCTTTGCACAGTCCTTGCAGGGACGGGGGGCAGGTAATCTTGGGTTTTTCCTGTAGCCCAGCCCCATGTGTATCCAGGGACAGGTGGCCAGTGTGCTAAGGACAAGCCTGCTGTGCGGTGTGTTTTTCCAGAGAAATCCCACACCGCCTTCCAGCTGGAGAAGAGCGTGTTGAAAGTGTCTGAGGACCTCACAGCTGTGGCCCAGACAATCACATGGTCCAGGGTCCAACTCCTGGCTATATGACTGATTTATGTTACGTGATTATCTGTGCCTCAGTTTCCTCATTTGCAAAATGGAGATGGGAACTTCCCTGTGGAAGTTGTCAGAAAGTAGCTATTCCACCTTCTAATTATTCTAATTATTTCAAAGGGGGGCACAGGATCAAGGGTAGGGGAATCTCACATTCAAAGTGTGAGTAGTAGCAGGGTACTGGTGGCCCCGCCTGTAATGCCAGATACTCAGGAAGCTGAGATCTGAGGATCATGATTCCAAGGCAGCCCAGGCAGAAAAGGCCATGAAACTCTCATCTCCAATTAAACACCAAAAGGACCAAAGTGGAGCTGTGGCTCAATGGGCTAGAGCGCTAGCCTTGAGCAAAATAGCTCAGGGACAGTGCTCAGGCCCTGAGTTCAACTGACAAAAGAAGAAGACGAAGAGGAGGAAGAGGAGGAAAAGGAGGAGGAAGAGGAGGAGGAGGAGGAAGAAGAAGAAGAAAAGGAGGAGGGAGGGAGGATAAAGAAAGATCAGGAATAGTGGCTAACACTTGTAATTCTAGCTACTCGCAAGGTGAAAATTGGGAGGATCATGATTCAAAGTAAGTTGGGACAAAACTTCATAAGATTCCATCTCAACCAATAAAAGCTGAGCAAGTGATAAGGAGCTGTGATCCTAGCTACAGGAGAGGCATAAATAGGAGAACCACAATCCAGACCAGCCTAGGCAAAAAATAAGAGACCTTATTCAAAAAAGAAAAAAAAGACTAAAGCTAGGTTCATGCGTTATGTAATACTAGCTACTTGGAAAGCAAAGATTTGAGGATCTCAGTTTGAAGCCAGACTGTACAGAAAAGTCCATGAAACTTTTTTTTTTTTTGGTTGTGGGGCCTGAACTCTGGGCCTGGCCGCTGTCCCTCAGCTCTTCAGCTCAAGGCGAGCATTTTACCACTTGAGCCACAGTGCCACTTCTGGCCTTTTCTGCTTCTGGGGTGCTGAGGAATCGAACCCAGGGCCTCATGCAGGCAAGGCAAGCACTCTACCACTGAGCCACCTTCCCAGCCCTCCATGAAACTCTTATCTCCAATTAAGCACCAAAAAGTCAGATGTGGAGCTGTGGCTAAAGTGGTAGAGCATCAGCCTTGAGCACAAAAGCTCAGGGACAGTGCTCAGGCCCTGAGCACAAGCCCCAGGACCAGTACACACACACACACACACACACACACACACACACACACACACACACACACACACACACACACACACACACACACACACACACACACACACACACACACACACACACACACACACACACACACACACACACACACACACAGCTAAAGCAAAAAGGGCTTATGTTGTAGCTCAAAGTGGGAAAGCACCTGCCAAGCTACTGTATGGGCCTAGATACAAACCCCGCACTAGCAAAAAAAAAAAAAAAGCTGGGCACACTGCTGGCTCACACCTGTAATCCTACTCAGGAGGCAAAGATCTGAGAATCACAGTTGAAAGCCATCCCAGGCAAGAAAGCTGGTGAGATTGTCATCTCCGTTTAGCCAGCAAAAAGCCAGAAGTGGAGCTGTGGCTCAAGTGGTAGAGTATCAGCCTTCAGCAGAAACACCAAAGGAAAGCATGCAGCCCTGATTTCAAGCCCCAGTACTAGCACAGAAAGAAAGAAGGAAAGAAAGAAAGAAGGGAAGAAAGAAAGAAAATAAAGAAAGAAAGAAGGAAAGAAGAAAAGAAAAAGAAAGGAGGGAGGGAGGGAAGGAGGGAAAGGAGAAAAGAAGGGAAAGGGAACGATGAATAAACTAACACACTGTAGAAGAGCCCCTTTCAGCCGGGTACCGGTGGCTCACGCCTGTAATCCTAGCTACTCAGAAGGCTGAGATCTGAGGATCACAGTTCAAAGCCAGCCTGGGCAGGAAACTCCGTGAGACTCTTATCTCCAATTAACCACCAGAAAACTGGAAGTGGCGCTGTGGCTCAAGTGGTAGAGCGCTAGCCTTGAGCTGAAGAGCTGAGGGACAGCGCCCAGGCCCAGAGTTCAGGCCCCACGACTGGAAAAAAAGAAGAGCTGGCACTTTGGTTGTGAGCTGCTCAGGCTGGGTTCCGGTGCCCGGCATGCCACTCTCCAGCAGCACCAACCTGGGACAGTCAAGAGTCACATCTCCCTCATCAGTGACTTCCTCAGCTGGAAAATCGCAGCAGGGGCAGAAAGGGATTTGTACAGGGCTCTGCCAGCTCGGATACACTCTCTTTGCTGAAGCCTGGGGGACTGGGCTGGTTTATGCTGCTGAACAACGAAGTCTCTATAAGGAGAAGCAAACCCTGTACGTAGCCAGCCAGAGATCACATTAGGATGAAAGCAGATCCTGAAGCCAGGAGCTGGTGCCTCATACCTGTAATCTTAGCTATTCAGGAGGCTGAGATCTGAGGATCATGGTTCAAGGCCAGCCTCACAGGAAAGTTCTTAAGACTCTTACCTCCAATTAAAAACTAATTTAAAAAAAAAAAAAAAAAAAAGCCAGAAGTACAGCTATGGTTCAAGTGGCAGAGAGTTCACCTCGAATCAAAAAGCTAAGGGAAGCTGGGCGCTGGTGGCTCACGCCTGTAATCCTAGCTACTCAGGAGGCTGAGATCTGAGGATCACGGTTCAAAGCCAGCCCGGGCAGGAAAGACTGTGAGACTCCTATCTCCAATAAACCACCAGAAAACCGGAAGTGGCGCTGTAGCTCAAGTGGTAGAGCACTCGCCTTGAGCTGAAGAGCTGAGGGACAGCGCCCAGGCTCAGAGTTCAAGCCCCACGACCGACCAAAAAAAAAAAAAGCTAAGGGACAGTGACCAGGCTCAAGTCCCAGTACCAACACACATATACATACATACATATATATATATATACACACACATGCACACAAACACACAGATCTTGTCTCTTCCATCCACCTCACCCCATGCATTCAGCCATAGCAAATGCACACTACATTCTTTAGCCTCTGAGACTTTTATCCAACTGAAGCTTCAACTCACAAGCTCCTCCCACAAACTGAATGCTCCAAGGATACTCAAATTTTGCTAGTGGTGGGGCTTGAACTCAGAGCCTGAGCACTGTCCCTGAGTTTTTGTGCTCAAGGCTAGTGTTTTATTACTTTGAGCCACAGCTGCACTACTGTTTTTTGTTTTTTGTTTTGCTGGTCGTAGGGCTTGAACTCTGGGCCTGGACACTATCCCTCAGCTCTTCAGCTCAAGGCGAGAGCTCTACCACTTGAGCTACAGCGCCACTTCCAGTTTTCTAGTGGTTTATTAGAGCTAAGAGTCTCATGGACTTTCCTGCCTGGGCTGGCTTTGAACCCTGATCCTCAAATCTCAGACTCCTGAATAGCTAGGATTACAGGCATGAGTCATCAGCACTCTGCCACTACTCAGACTTTGAATGTGAGATTTCCCCCTACCCTTGATCCTGTGCCTCCTTTGAAATAATTAGAACCTCTTTTCTTTAAAATGTACAAGGATTGAATTCAGGGTCTCAGCTTGCTAGGCAAGTACTCTACCAATTGCACCATGCCCCAAGCCCATTTTGCTTTTACTTATTTTCTAGACAGGCTCTCACTAGCTTTTTTGCCTGGGAATTAGCCCCAACCTGGAACCTTCCCATTTTCACCTCCTCGGTGGCTAGGATTACAGGTGTGAGCACTGGCCCTAATAATTAGAACCTTGATGGAGTTCACTACCCCTCAGCTGAACAGGTAAGGTTTGCTTCAGTATACTGGACATCCAATGAGCTATGCCAGGAGGATGTAGGTGAGTATAGGTAGGATCATCCCTCAAGACTCAGCTTAAGAGCCAAGCACGTGTAACCCTGGCCACTCAGGAGGCTGATCTGAGGATTGTGGTTCAAACCCAGCCTGGGCAAGAAAGTCTGTGAGACTTATGTCTAATTAAGCCAGCAAAAAGCTGTAAATTGAGGTGTAGCTCAGCTCCAGTGATAAAATGCCAATCTTAATTCAAAAAAAAAGCAAGGCCTAGAAGCTTCAGTGCTCTTGCATGCTCTCTCTCGATCTCTCTCTCTCTCCCCTCTCTCTCCCTCCTCTCTCCACCCACCCCCCCTTTCTCTCTCTCACACACACAGCCTAGACAACAGGATTAAGGACTCACAAGCTTTTTCTCCAGACAGGGCAGCAAGCTAGCTGACCCACACAGGCGGCCCAAGCGCCCACCTCGGCCCGGCATTGTGCAAGCTAAACCAGTGGATGCTGGAAGCCACGCCCCCTCCCACCGTCTCTATCACTTACCCGTGACCTCCTGCAACTTAGTTAAGCACCCTGCTGCGCCCCAACTTGCGCATCTGCAAAATGGAGATGGCCAGAGGTATCTCTCCAATGGCCGCTGAGAGGCTGAATGACGTCCTGCCCTCCTAAGGCCCAGCACCAAAGCCAGCACCCGTGAGGATCCTGATCCTCTCCATTTATAGATAATGTCCCCCCCCACCCCCCGACGCCCCCCAATACACCTGGGTCCGCTGGGAGGCGGCCAAATGGATCCAT